CCTCATCTTTGGTGATGAGACCCAAAACTAGAGAGGGATTCAATATTTGTTGTGAAAGATGCGGCTTCCTATGAGGTGAACACGTACCAGTAAATGGAAACATGGTATACTGGACCTGAGGTGACGATGGGTTCTGTCTACTAATCTCATGATCTAGTCAAAGTTAGAGGCTTCGTAAATTAAGTAAAAGTATCGATATTTTGGAAGGAATGGATGATATGGACGGCAATAAAACCCAGAATTAGGTGCTACAGACATCCTGCATTATCACATCTACGAGGAAGACGACGATTCAAGCACTTATATAAGACGGAAAATTGAAGGAAATTTTAAAGAAATAAACTTAAGCGAGGTACTTTTCAGTTAGATCACTTGCCTCCTCTTTTTTAAGCTGCTATGATACGACTCTCGATACCACTGAAAATAATAAGTGAGCACTGACAGTCTTGAACGCAACCCAACCTTTTGTAGAAATATGACAAATCTGACGCCAAAATGAGATCTTTGGAAAAGCAAAAATGAAGTGCTAGAGCGACCACAGACATACATTGCGAACGGCAGCGGCAAGGGGTGAGGCAACAAGCCCATCGGAAAGGGAAGCTTTGGCCGCTTCGAGAGAGATGAAGCGAAGAGCGGGATGGGGGAAGGCTAAGAGAGCGCATTTGAGATGACCCATGCTTTCCAGCAGTGGCTGTGCAGCCTCAGGAGGAACGTAAGCCTCTGCGTCTACCTGGGGTACCAGAAACACGGCCTTAGGGTGGTGTTTCATCCCAGAAGTGGGGCCTGTTACTGAGTCGGCAAACGCTATTCTGCACACGAATATAACAACTCCACTTTTGGAGTGGATGATTTCAAATTCCCGACCGCATTTTGACCTGTAGACAAAGCAAAGAAAAAATTCGATATGGATACAAGGCCGTTTGGGGACCTATCGAGGAGGGTTTGTAAAAGAAGATTTTAAAACCCAGGACGTAGAGTACTAACAGAAGATTTCAACCTGTTTACAACTATCTGCATAGAGGAGCTTTGTACACGAACGCAAAATCGGGTGAATAGAGGCAATGGAAAATACGAGTGAACCTCTAAAATACAAGCACCCATAAAGTGTCACATATCAAAAGGCACTTACTTAGTTTGGCTTTGACTCAGTATACATGAAATTTGATGATACTTGATCCAGTCTGCGAGACGTTGCTTCAAATCTTCCTGAATACAGCAACAGGGCTGATCGTCACCATAAGTCTTTAGTCGAAGTTGCGGTAGAACAGAAGATGGCCTCATTTTAGTCATGACAAAAGTGAATAGCGGAAGGGAAGTGGAATCAGCAGACCGCTCTTCTGGATTTGTCACTTGATAGCAGCTTACAATCCACTGACTATCCCTAAAGAGACAGGCGTTCAGCAACTACCAGCGGCGTAGAAAACCGGGTTTGCAGTTAATGAAAATTGCGACTGGAATAAGTGAAATAAGCAACCACGAAAGATAGGTGCAAGATCGGCATGACAAACACAAACTAGTTTTATTTCACCTGTCTAGAAAGTAGTCAGCAATATGCTTGACAACATGATCTTGGGCCAACGTGATCAAAATATACCGCCCGAAAAGAGAAAGAGTGGAAGCGATTTCGCCAAAATACTGGTTGACATCTACATTCGCTTGTCCATTGTCAATGGCATCAAATGTGCCTTTATCGACGACACAGTTAAACTCCTTATTGGTAAGTCCAAGCCGATTTAGATCAGAACTGAGTGTGAAAACATCTGCTAATTCAAATCTCAGATTTGGCCGAGAAGGAGAGACGAGATGTTGAGATTGTTCAATTGCTTCTTGGCTGAATACGAGGTCGGTAAAAGAGAACGCATACCTATAATCTATACCAAGATATGTGGCGCAGCCAACTTTATCGTAGATGTCAGCGGAAAGGACGGAGTTACCACAGCCAACCTCCAATACAGAGTCAGACTTTTTGATATTTTGAATAAAGATTTCAGCAAGCGTGAAGAAGTCACCATACCTTAAGAAAGGAGTAAAAACTACTTTTGCACTAACCATTCGAAAGTGGTACTGCGTTGGGCAAAAAAGTTGTTCCAGTAATCCGAACTCCCAAATTCATCGATTGTCTTGGGAAGAATTGAATTCATTTAAAAGGACACAAGTCTACAAAAAAAGTTGATAATACGAGATCAGGAACCTCGGATGCGAATCTAGGTCGAGTGTATCGGTAGAAAATTTTGGAAAAAACGGAGCACATAGTCCAAAACGTCACCTTTGCCGAAATGTGAAAGCCCATGGGTAACCTCAACAACTGCATTGGCAAATAAGACAATATTCAACTAGAAAACCACGTTGTGAAGGACTAATGTCTGGGAAAGTGTTTCTGAATAGAAAGGAGAGTTGCACTGGACAAAAAGTGAGCTACCCAGGAATGGAAACAGGATAACAAAGGCTTACCCGCCGTTATGAAAATTGCACGTGACAGTGCAGACTTTCACCGACTTACGACCCGACAATATCTACCTATTAGGTAACTGTAGTAAATGAAGGTCAAAATGAGGGTAGCTATAAGTTGTAATGAAAAAGAAATGATTGACTCACAAATAGTGCGTAGACCGAATTGATACATACTGCAACTAGCATAAATCTACGCCACATTAAAGCCGATATGTTAATTAGTGTTGGCATTGAATCAACCTTGCCTTTTTACAAACAAAATATAGATGCTTTTCGGTCAACAAATGGTATTCCTTGCAAGACTTCTTTAATAAACCCTATTATTGACCTTCGAAAACGCAACAATTGCCTAACCTCCTTCCCTGGTGTGAAACATTTTTTCAAAGCCTCTCTTCCATCTTGCACTATTTTATTACCAAGGTTTCGTATAGTGCTGTCCTATACTGTTGTGAATTCTTCATCGTGTTTAAGTTTTTTCCTTTCCTTCGGATCCTTTTGAATGTCTACCAAATGTGTGTATGCGGTGCGGTGTAACCTAAAATGTTTGCACAAATCTGGGATCTGATTCTATATTTCACTTAACACTTTGCTATTTCGAACGACCAGCAACGATGTCGAAGTCGCCTCTTTTTAGGCTAAGGAGCCTGTTTAAAAACTGCATTGTTCCCCACAATGGGGATGTCTGTGCCGAATCCGTTTCAGACGCTGTCTCTAGCAGTGAAATCAGTGCATCAGGTTTAAAAGCCCATGAAAAGCGTTTAGAAAGTATTTTGTAGTCCTCAGATTATTTTCTTAGGGCTGGTCAAAATCCTCTCTCAATATTCATGCTTGCGAGACAGCGATCTGGACCATTTCCGTGACCTTTGCAACCAACCATGGTTTTGGGGTCCACTTACTCGTATCGAAGCCGATGCACTGCTACATTGCGCTCCAGATGGATCTTTTATCGTTCGTGACAGTGAAAACGACAGTTCGAAATTTACACTTACGTTTAGGTTCTCCAAAGAGGTTATCCTTAACAATCGGATTACGCAAACCGGTAATGAATTTGGATTCATTCAGGTATCTCCTTTTGGGATTTTTCATTTTATTAACTCTCAAATGATTTTTTTCGTTCGAAGCGTTAATTTCTTTTGTAACTCGGCT